AAGGAGCAATCAATCTTAGTGTATGAAGAGGACTAGACGAGAAAGGTTTTAAAGAGGAACTATCTGAGCCAGAATCTGAGGCAAAGGATGCCAGCTAGGCAATGAGGTAGTAGGCAGCATATCTGTAGTATTACTGATGTTTATAGGACAAGTTTCCCCGTCATAGCTGCTTTCAAGTTAAAAACTGGTTCACAAAGTGCTGCACATTTAATAATCAGTTCTCTCTAGCTGGTAGGAGTTGGTTGCAGCATACTATGGGGGTGGGAGTGGGGAATATGAAAGGATCAATTCAAGGAGAGAGAAATCCTTATAGAAAAAAATTAGGTTGCACAACTACAGTTAACCAGCACAGGGCCGATCTGGGGAATTACAAGTAGCATGCTGCATAAGCAGAGAAGGGTAAAGTCAGGAGCCAGAGGCACAGGAATACCGTGGGCCAGCTGAGGAACATGACCTACGGGGGGGGGGAGCTATTCACGAGTTTTAGAGAAGGGAGTGACACCACCACATTTGGGCTTCAAAGAGATCATTCTAGGAGGAGTTGAGATAATTACTTATAGTTATCAGAAAGGAGGCAGAAAAGTTTGAGGAAAGGAAGTAACTAACTGAAGATCTGGAAAGGAGACTGACTGAAGATACAGTACAGAGGTAAATATTGAGAACTTGATAGCCAATTATTTGTGGGAACTGAGAGAGGCTAGAAAACACCTATTAGGATTTTTTAGTGTATGTATCTAGGAAACTGTACTGGAAAAACCAAGCAGAAATGTGAGAAAAATGGTTTTTGTCTGGTAATGTGTGTGTGTTGGGAGAGGGGCAGGAGAGTTGGGTAGCAGTAGAGTAGAGGGAAAAGAAGGTAGGGAGGGTTGACAGCCTGGCTGTTTTCAAATATCAGTTGAACATCAAAAACATACATATCCAGCAGTGATTCAGGAGCTTAGGAAGAGGTCAGCAACAGAATTCTGGAGCTGACATTATATAGAAGCAACTAAACGACAGAAGGTAAGATTGCTAGGGGTAACAACCTGGCCATTTTTATTTCGCCAAGTCACAGGCTCCTCTGACTTGATTCAATTTCCCTTTGGGGTATGATTCAGGTGCCTTCTAAGAATGAACTAGGGAGGAAATACACGAGCATAAGGAGACTGAATAGGAATTAATCTCTTCCCCAAATTGCAATAGAAAATATGACAAAACAGCAAACACGTGGAACATAATGAAGATTTTATGCTCTCTTAAGCCAGTACTGCAGGACCTAATAGGTTTCGCTCTTTTTGGAGCTCATCAGCTGCAGGTAACGGCTCAAATCTATTCTGACCGCTATACCTGTATAGTGTTTTACCATTTATAGAGCTTCTCATTCACGGGCTTCAGTTTACTACATCCTGGTAATTCTCAGAGTTTCCCCAGCATTAACTAAAAGAAGTTTTACAGTTAAGTCCTGAAGGTTTTGCTGGGGAAAGCACCAAGTGACTCCTTTTGCTAATCTCTCAGCACCAACTACACAAAGCCTAAGCTGTCATTTGCCTACAGATGGTCTCCTCTATTCCCAGAGCCACTGCAGACAGATCCAGCACCCAAGGTGTAGGAGGCCTCTAGCTGTCTAGAGAATCCTACTGGTCCTGACATCCCTGCTCTCCTGCCTCTACACTGGGCTAGTTCATCACTGTTTTGGACAGTAACTCTAACATCAAGGTTAACTTAGAGAAAAAGGAACAAAATAAAATTAACACATAGACATCTTTGAATTAAGTCACTTTATTGTGACAGTTCCTGAGGGTACTGTCTATATATCTGATATATTTAAGTACACACTCAAATATGCATGAAACACTGGCATCCAGGAGCAAGATAAGGTATATGGCTACCATTTGTATCATAGAGGTAGAGGAGAATCACACAGACATACACATTTACTTTTTTCATAGGCATATTATTGGTGACTTTAGGAATTGTCTGGCTACTATAGTACAAGAGGTGAGAAAGATAATTTTTTAAGTAAATGTTATTTTGAATTTGGAACCATGTGAATATTCAAAATTAAATTTAACACATGCCTACATACTTCTCTGTGTTCCTAGGTATATGTTGATAAAATGGAGCTGACAGAACTGGAACTCAAAGACTGACTAGCCTTGTTTTTTTTTTTTGGTTTTTAAGGCCTTTGAAAAAAAAATATCCTGAGTCTTAGTCTTATCTCATGGAACCAGAGCCCTTAGGTACCTTAGGTAGAACATTAGTTTAGTTTTGTTTAGCAGTTGTCTAGTCTAAAACACCTTAAGTTAAAAAAAAAGCTAGGAAAAAAGTGAAATGACATTTCTAAAGAGGTTATTTTTAAAAAAAAAGGCATAGAGAAGGATCTATGAAAGAAGAAACAAGTAAAAAGTCTGATGACAAATTTGCAACATTGTACTTCAGTGGCTCACTTAATAAATGGGAAGGTATTTATATGGCCATTTTGTTAGGGGAATGGCAGGTAAGGTCTAACATAGAGGTATGAACTAAATTTATGGGTCTGATTTTAAATTTGTCTCAGCGTTTTAGAACTACTGCCATGTCTTTGTACTTCACTAGCCTCATGTCATCTTCACGTTTATTCTGATATTCCAGAAAGAAAATAACTACCAAAAACCAAAATAAAAATTTTAATCACCATTTTGGTGACTAAAAAAAAAAATGTTTTCAACTATGCAAAAGACTTATACTCTACGTGGCATAGCTCATGGAAAACATGAGTTAGCTTTTACTTTAGTTCTAGTTAGCTGATGTGCACTGAGTGTCTTCACTGCTGGTTTCCAGTTAGCAATGCCTGTGCCAGTCCAGGGGCTGAGTATTCTGAGTATCACCCCTGCGTCTAGCATTGTACACCCATGTGTCCTTGTCCTCAACCAAGGCGGGCCAAGGACCATTTCTACGAAAATGCACGGTGAACTCAGACCCAAGCATGCCCACGACATGTGAACATGTCCATGCTGGAGTGATGCAAGACCTGGTTGATTTTGGTAGCTAGCACCAATCTAACAGGCATGATTCCAAAAGCAGTATGTGAAAATACTGAAGGAATCACTCTTTCTTAGTGCTCAGGCAAAACAGAGCTTTATGTTTCACTGGTTGGACCCAAACATAATTTTAAATGGCATTAAAATTTGTAAATTTCTTAGGAAATCACCTCAGCAGGGATTTTGCAGCAGCTTACCAATAAAGATAAACATTTGTTCCTCCTTCAATATTTACTGATGGACTTCATGCAGAAACAGAATTACTTATTCTCTGAATGTCTAATCAAACTACACAAAACCACTCTGCAGAGTAAATGTTCTCTCCTAAACCTGTAAGCTAAAGAGACAGCTTACACATCTAGTTCACCCAGGGCCACTGAAATGTCAAGGAAAAGATACTAACAGCCTAGTTTTATAAGTTATTCTAATGTTGATAAACAATGTTCCAGTTAAAATAAGTTGCACTATACCCAACTTACCCATTCATTTAAAAACAAAGAGCCACTATTTCTAAGACTAAACTTAAACAATTGTGCGAGTGATTGGTATTTGGGATCTACAACATAGAGCCCTCCTGCTGCATTTAAGTGCTCTAGTCTATTTCTAAATAACCTAAGAAATAAAACCAAGCCTTGATTTGTCCTGAATAATTTGTAGGGTCAGCTTTTAGATAGATATGTTAAAAGCCCTCTTGGCATGTAGATTTTCAGAAAATAGTTGCTTAATTTTAGGCCAAATAAGGGAGGACAAACTGTTAGAGTAAACTACTCTTAGTATGTCTCCCATAGGGCAGCGTTTGTCTCTCTTACCTTTCCTGTCCCGTCCTTCAACACATACTGGAAGACTTCCTAGGGCAATGCAGAAATCCAGACAAGAGAAGGAAGCACACTAAAATAATGGAGGACAGGCTACAGGAGATGGACAGTGTCAGACATCATGGGGGAGAAAAGAAGGAATTTCACAGTTAGCCACTTTGTTCAAGAGAAACTCAAACTAGTTATTTCAAAGGTAGAAAGATAAGGGGGGAAAAAAAGATCTTTTACTTCTTTGTAGCAAGACTCCCTTTCATAAGAACAGAGGAAAGCTGTAGTTAATTTGGAAATTTGTCTTCAGAGGAACAGATATAATTTAGCAAATAGTACAAAGGGATAAAAGATAAAGGAGATTCTCCAATTTAAGAATATTAATCAGGAGATATAATCATATGCTTTGAGAAAAGGAAAAACACCATAATTATAATCTAAAAGCAGTTGAGTTGTTCTTTCTTTCTCCAAGAGAATACAAACTATGAAAAGTAGTAAGAATCCCAATGCTTAATCTCTAAATAATGAATGAGGCATGTGCACTTACACATAATTATCACATTTTACAACAAAGGTCTAGAAATGAAACAAAGTCATCCCAATTGAGAAGCTCCCCACACTCCCCTGCTGGGGCAATCTTCTGGCCTATTTGTGTGACACCTGCCCCAATAACTTCCCCACCAGATACCAGGCACTTGGAATACTACCTTCAGGAGACAGGAGCCCAACAGATTTAGCATAGCCTTTGAAATTTTGTAGTTTTTTTTAACCCCAAATGTAAGATGCTAGGAAAGTTTGCAGTTATTCACACTAGTTAGTACGTTTTTGTTTCTTGGATAAGAGGTAGTTTACAAAAATGAATAACTGAATGGGGTCAAGGGGTAGGAAGAGGGGTAAATATATGGAATCTAAGAAAAACTATTTTACAACCTTGGGTATAGTTGCTTTGTTACGAAAACAGAGGTTTAATACTTTGTATATGTAACTTAGGCATTTACCTAAAATAAACAATTAATTCCAACAAAAGGCAATCAAAGTCATACATTTTTAAGCAAAGTAAACCTCTGTCAAAGCTTTATTTTCTATAAAGTAAAAGGCAATTTTTATAAGAATGAATTCAATTTTAAATTTTAAGTGATTTTATCAACATTGATAATATCTGAATAGTCTATCCAAATTTGTTAAATAAAATGCATACCTCATATTCTTTTCTGCAGACTTTAGAAATGTCATTTTTTGAGGATGCCTAGAAGATAACAAAATTCTCCATTAATTTATTATACATGCTAATTGTCATGAAAAAATGAACAAATTAAAATATGTTCATTGGTGCTGTAGTAGTCCTTATTTCATCAAGGAAAACCTTATGTTAAAGTATTTAAAAGTTCCTAAAATGCAATAAATTTCCTTTGAAATTTCAAATTTATTTAAAACAAACATCAGCCAAAGAACCTACCCAATATGCTAGAACTTCACTCTAATTTTTCAGCTTTAATCTTACATAATAACAGGTCCTTTTGTTATTTTAGAAACTAGATGACTTTGAAGGAAATGTAAATCAGAAGTTTTTTTTAACTGAATTCCACTCTGATGGAATTTTTCTTGGAAGTTCTGCCACAGCAAATTTCCTTGTGAAGCTCTGCCAGGGCATTTATATTTTGCATTTTCTTTAACTCTTCATATTCTAGGTTCTCAAACTGACTTTATGAGCTAGTTTCCTCAGAAAAGATCATATATAAAGAAGAGGTTAACTGAAGAGGAAAAAGTAATGTCAGACAACTAACAAAAGATGATTTTTATATAATTTTCCTAACGAGTTCAAAAAGAAATGATCTCTACAGAAGAGGTTACTGAAGGACAAGTTATTTATCATATCTAAGTGTATAGCTATATAAAACAAGTCAAAATAAATCTGTTGAGGCTGCGTACTCTTCCATGTGGTAACAGTACCCATTTAGAGACATAGTTCTAAGTCGAGGGGTCTGGTCTCTTGATCTATTCTCTCCTGTTTCATCACCTACATTTATACAATTTTGAACAGGCTAGTTGATAAAAACAGGGAAAAGCAAGAAGCAGAATGGACTGATAACTGTTTTGTGTTCTACTAGAACCATTATAGTTCAAATTCTTTGCAAATCAGTTTCATCTCAATGTCTGGAGAACAACAGCCCGCTAGCGAGGCTGGGTGCTGCCCAGAATGCCACACAGTGCAGTGGGCTGCATGAAGAGAAGGTGACATGTGTCTCATATACACCTGTCCAGAGACCAGGCACTAGAAGATAATAGGAAATGGTTTTCCTGTTGTGGTTCAAGGCCGCAATGTCCTATTAAGCTTATTTTCATCCCTTTGAGTATGAGGACCAGGAGACCAGTTTTCCCACAACATCTTGAGGAACCAACCTTTTTGCTAATATACACAGTAAGGAAGAATTTAGGAGTTTAACTTGAGCTGGACCAGAAAATACAAAACCAAGAGAAGACATAATTCACTGTAGGAATCAAGCTCCCCTTAGAAGAAGAGAAAGGCTCAGAGTGAACATGCTCAGAGTGAACCCATGAGGGAAAAAGAGAAGATGAATGCAACCACTGTGTCAACTGCTCTCATCTAAGCATATCCTAAATCACAACCATATCATGTATCAAATCCTGTATCATGACTACATGGAATATTTACAAAGCATGACCACAAAGCACAGAAGGCGTCAACTATATCATTCTTTCTTTCTATGACAGAAAGCAGAGTAAGAAAAGGCTGAAAGCAAGTCTAAAAAGCAGCAAGTCTAAAAGGAAGTGGTCTGGTCAAGAAATGCTGAATTTGCAGCTTTTATAGGTCACATCTTCAAAGGTCTGAGATGGGCAAAGTCCAAGACATATGCACAGCTAGAATTCAAACTGCATTTCACGCTGCTGAGCCTGGCTACGCAGTGTTACCTGCTTGCATGCCTGTCGACACTCCAAGGTAATAGCCAGTTCACAGCAGCCTAAGCCAACCCAGCCATCAGACTTCTTAAACACACCTTAAAAACAAAATGTTTAAATGTTTTGGTCATAAGCATTGTCAAACACAAATAGCATGTATAACTGGTTTGTGGATACCACTTAAAGTCAAAGCAAAAGTCAAGGCAGGAATCAACAGGAAAACTAGCCCAGACAGCAGGCCTTAAATTAACACCTTCCTTCTACCCTACTCCCAGTGCTGTCAGCCTTCTCAGGTCCTCGCATCACAGTGATCAGATCCCTTTTTTTTTTGCTTCTCCCTGTCCCTGACCTAAGCTCTCTTTTGGTCATTCTCACACAAATAAGTAAGGTCTTTTTCCTCACCTTTAGAGTATGAATAAGAAGCAAAGATTACATTTACTTAATAAGCAAGCAAATAAAAATGGCATAAGTATTATTTCATTTTAAATATTAAACATCTAGAATAGCATAAAATCCATGATGCTTTTTAAAAATTGATACTTAGCAAATAGGTGCACTTAATAATTGGACAAAATGACTATTCTGGTTTAATTTATGCATAGCTGCTTATTTCTCCAACCAAATTACTGTGATACTAAAAGGTTATAAAAGGCAATGACTGGCCCTCCCTAGTGGCGCAGCGGGTTAAAGCACCGCACTAAGAAGCTGAAACCACTTCTGCATGAGTTCGATTCCCGCCTGCCCCG